GCGCCAGTGGTAGAGCTTTTGTCAAAAAGTCAAATGTAAGTAGGAGTTGGAACAACCCCCGTTAGCAATTGTCAAATATATAACTTTTCTGCAAAACGTTGCCAGCGCCATCTGAGACGCATGTGACAGCTGATATTCCAATTTCATTTCAATACAAAATGCGTAAACAAACCGACGAACGCACAGAAAAATTATTTTTATGTTCTTCTGTGGCATATTTATCAAGAAAAATAAAAATAATCTAGATCGCCATGAACGACTTCACGCGGATAAAGTTAAAAAATATAAATCAACCAAAAGACAACCAAACCTATCTGCGTTTCAGGAGTAAACTTCAATTTGCACTAGTTTGATTTAATTCTTAATTAATTGAAGCTTGATTTAGTTCTTCAGAGGTCTGTAGGTTCTAGAGTCTAAAGGTTATGACAATGGTCTCCTCATAGTATTTCCTTTCCTTCCGCATTACGTCCTGATGAAGACTCTGAAGAGGCACTTATGAGAACAATGCCTCAAAATGATATTCTTTCAATTTGAACGCTGAAAGAATGTGTAGTGGAGGGTTTCTTGGCACGAGAAACCCGAATCTGATGTTAGTTTTAAGATGCAATCAATTTTTCACAGACTTTTCATACAAAAATCCACAAAAAATTTCATTTTTGTATGAAAGACATTCCTTTGTGGTACCGTAATGATGTGAAACTTTAAACAGGCTATTTTACTTTTCCGCACACACCTAGTGTGTAAGGTAAAGTATTGGAATCGGTCGAAAAATTAACACCCTCAAAAAACATGTTTTCTGGGTGTTTTAGGAGCCAGGGAACACGAATCTAGCGTTTTTTCGATGTCGGAATGTATGTGCGTGGTACCCTGTACCCTGTACGCAAAAATTTGTTAACACGATAACTTTCAAAGAAGAAAAGTAATTCAAAATCTGACTTCACAGGATGATTGGGGGTGACGAGGAATAGAAACCATTAGATTTTGAGCGACTTTGGTTGATAGAGTGAAGTGCCATGTCTGGTGTGATGCCTATGGCCATGGGAAAAATTCAATTTTTCTTCCAAAAGTGATATTACTTTTCCGCACACACCTAGTGTGTAAGTTAAAGTATTGGAATCGGTCGAAAAATTAACACCCATAAAAAATGTGTTTTCTGGGTGTTTTTGGGGCCAGGGAACACGAATCCAGCGTTTTTTCGATGTCCGAATGTATGTGCGTACCCTGTACCCTGTACCCTGTACGCTGTACCCTGTACGCAAAAATTTGTTAATACGATAACTTTCAAACAAGAAAAGTAATTCAAAATCTGACTTCACAGGATGATTGGGGGTGCCGAGGAATAGAAACCATTAGATTTTGACCTACTTTGGTTGACAGGGTAAAGTGTCATGTCTGGTGTGATGCCCATGTCCATCCATGGGAAAAATTCAATTTTTCTTCCAAAAGTGATATTTAATGTATTCTTAAACACTCAAAAATGTGTATTGGGGGGTTTTTGGGTACGAGAAAACCGAATATGACGTTAGTTTTGTGATACAATTCATTTTCGACACACTTTTCATACAAAAATTTCAAAAAAATTGGATTTTTGTATGGAAGCCATGCCTGTATGATATCGTAATGAGCTGAAACTTTTCACAGGTTATTTTTATCACACATAAATACCATTCCGAGAGTTTGAAGACATTTCAACGAATATTAGGGGCACCTCCCGAACAATATTTTGGATTTTTCGTTCTAAAACGAAATTTTGTATGGGAAGTACCCTTAATATGCATTGAAATTTCTTCAAACATTCAGAATGTTAACTTTTTGTGAAAAAAATAACCTCTGCAAATTTTCACATGATTACGATATCATATAGGCATGGTTCCGATACAAAAATTCCCATCTTTAGTAGTTTTTGTAAGAAAAGTGCTTCGAAAATTATTTTTATCTAAAACTAATGTCAGATTTAGTTTTCTCGTGAATTATTTGAGTAAAAGATTTGTAATAAATGCATGTCGTGGATCACAGTGCGGAAAAGTTCATCTTACGGATGTAAGACATTTTATTTTGCGGTGGATTGCAATTTATACCGTTACCAAAAATACTCATTAAATTTTACATTGTAAAGCCTCAACGCTTTTTGACAATTCGAATATCGAATCAGTTGGTTTGCCGCGTGACACACAGTGACGTAATCATACTGTCACATCGACAGTAGTCATTGTGACGAACACAGCACAAAGGTTCAAGTCATTTCTCTCCGCCGTCTTAGTCTACATACACTAAAAATCATGAATACATTTTTTTGGCATCGCTAAATCGTATTAATTTTGTAGTTTTCCAACAAAAATTTAGTTCGAAGAAGTTTAACTAAACGATGTTGAAATAACAACCTTGAACGAATTTTTCGTAATTTTTCATAGATATTTCATAAAAGTGGCCACAAGTGAGTACACATTACATTTTTAACCTTTTTCCAATTTTATACTTCAGTTCCTAAAGTCTGCTTGCTGAAAACAGCCCGTTTCAAAGTAAATTCGATTTTTTCTAATCCGATTTAACAGAATTATTTCAAAAAGCTCATAAAATTTTGTAAAAATGCTGCGATTCCACAATATAATTACGAATGAAATGTTGAGAATGTAGACTGGCTACTAGGAATGTAGATCAATTTGAGCATATTGTTTTTTTATAACCAAGTCAATCGATCTACATTCCAAACATTTTGTTCCCATTGTATCATAGAATTACGGCACTGATTGAAGCCAATAAATTGAAAGTTGTTGTATTGAAAATTGCGGCTCCACGCATATACATGAACGCAGTAACTGCAATTAATGTCATAACCTCAATATTGAACGAAATTACTTGGTTAAAGTGTGTGCGTGTGTCATAATATTGACATGTTGCTCTCTGCATCTCTAAGAATGGATACAATTAGAAGTTTGAGGTTTATTTGCATATTTTCATTTTATTCACAGACGATGGCTGATCAAGGACGAAAATCAGGCGTGAAACGTCGATCGGAAGAATCAAATGACCCAGAACCAAAGCGTCAACGAATTGACGATGCTGTAGATGCAACCACCGATGGAATAAAGCTGACCGATATCATTGATGATTGTCTTGAACGAATTTTCATACATTCATCTTTTGACGATCTTTTGAACATCGCCCACACCAATACACAACTGATGTCAGCCGCAGGCACGACGTTCAAACGTAAATTCGGCAAGACGAAATTCGGATTATGCGACGATTTTCCTCCATTTCAAGAAAATTGCATTCTAATTACCGATAAGAAAACTCAGTTGCAATTGTTGCGTTCTTTTGGACATTTAATCACGGAGTTGACTGTAGAGCTATCTGGTAAATTTGGTAAAAAATTGATAACGTACTCAAGCGAATACTGTTTTACTTCACTAACTGTCCTCCGAATTCAGTATTCTGATATTGAATTGTTGCCAAAAAAACCATTTGCAAATGTTGAAGTCGTTGAATTGCTCAACAGCCGATTGTATGAGGACATGGATTTTAACAAATGGTTTCCGGCAATGCGTCGTTTGAATTTGATTAAGTGTCATGTTGATAACAAAATGTTCGTCGTGAAGAATTGTCTACATTTGGAGCAATTGAAAGTTGAACGCTGCAATCACATTTCAACCAAAGATTTTTTCTCTTTCCTGCAAAATAATCCACAATTGCGTAGCTTAAGTCTCGTTAAAGACTATATACCCAAAGACTTCTGGATAACATGTCAGAAGCTTACACAACTGGAATACTTAAATTTGGAATGTTACAGTTTGCCATCTAGTAGCACTGCGGTCAGCTTGATCGCGTTGAAAAAATTGGATATTGACATCAGACGTAACGAAGGTATACTTGTGTTTTTATCGGAGTTAACATTCGATCAACTTGAAGACATCACGTTTGGTTCGAGCGTGTTTTTGAATCAAACATCACGTGACACATACCAATGGTCAAACTTCTTCAAGAAGAATTCATCGATTGAAAAAGTCACGTTGACGGGCTACAACCATTCCATTGATAACATCGTGACAGGAATTATACGAGAATCGCCATTGTTGAAAGAATTCAATAATTTTGGTTGTCTATTTTCGGTTGACGAAATACTTGACTTCATGGGTAAATTCCAAGATTAAAAATTACTATTCCATTACTGAAGAATTTCTGTCATTCTTTCTATTATTTTTCCATTACTTATTTCCATTAATTCCATTCTTTTCCCTGTCATTCACAATCAGGTAAATTCAATTTGACGAGTTATGGTTTCGGAGTCGAAAACAACTCCGAATTCGAAGATCTGAAAAATCGTTTGAGCGCAGAATGGGAGGCGTCATTCAATGATGGTCGTGTTATAGTAACTCGCAAGGAGTGATGGATCGACTTTCTGAATTCTTCAATAGAACCAGTTCCAAAGGAGAGCGAACAGAAAATGAACTCGACATCAATTTCCATCAACCTATAGAATTATCAATTTTCTCCATTTTTCATTCGATAGCTTTTAAGTTACGTTCAATGATTACTTGGACATTAAATTATTGACAATGAACTATGACGACTACAATAAAATATGATTCGAACAACAAAAGTTCCCGTTAGATGCTTTTATTTTAATATTTTCTCATTACGCAGCTTTACATTAAATCTATTTTAGTCATTGGAACATTTCTGGAGTTGTGCTCTCATTCCCATAAATCAATTTTTAAATACGTCCACTCACAAGGTGGCATTCCTGTGTCAAAGAATTTTAAGGAATTGGTTTCACTTGATTTTTTTATTCTTATAAAATCTGAACATAATCCAAGGCGTTAAATAAGCAAAAACAACTAAACTCGAAAAGGGAATAAATAGAGATCTCTAAAACACCACCTAAACTGGTGTGTGCTTGGTTTGGACGAGTCTTTTGTTTAATAATAATAGCGACAACACTGACATTTCGAAAATGTTATTGATGTGACGAAGCAATCACACAATCCCACCGACACGTATTTCCCATCAATAGAGCGCCAATTCAGTCTTATCTGTCTCCTGCCATCTCTCAAGACTTTGACTATAGTTCATTTGTGTTTTAAGTTTCTCAAAAAAGGTATTTTATTTCGTCTCTATTTGCTTGAATGATGAAAAAATCGATGTTACCAGCAATAAAACGAGGAGAATTGCGGCCTCGACAATGGAGAAAGAGTTTCAAAACTGGAAACAATCACAACGGCAATCACAAACAAATGGTCTGTCACATCGTTCCAATCGCATTGGCTTTTTACATTTAATAAGATTTGAATTTTCATGCCCAGATCGCATTCATCATCTTCACGCGATTATTTTAAAGAGACTAAAAGATATAATCAAAAGATAACTAACAATTATGTGTTGAGAATTACACCTCCAATAAAGTCATCTGTGCTCGGATCAAATTCCTGTTGTTTTATTTTGTTTAAAAAAACCATTTATATCTTGTTCAATCATTTGGAATGTTTGTGTCAATTTATAGGAACTGTTTTTGTTATCTCTGGCCTTTGATCGCGATAAGCTGTTATATTTTTACAGGTCTTGTTTATCGGAAGACATCTGGTATCGATATTTATTCAAAGTTCAAAAGTCTTAAGAAAATAAACCACCGGGTGCGTTCTTGGACTCTTATCATGTTCAAGCCACTGAAAATGTCTTCGCACACATTCAAACTTGCGGTGTCATTTAGATATTGATATGGTTTCTTTGTGTGAAGGTATGACGATGTCAAATCATAAAATACCATCAAGACTCAATCGGTTCAGCGTAAGCAAAACATTGAGAAGGCACTAACGTGTTGACAGTTCAACAGATACGGTTGTCATTTTGTAACTCGTTCATTTGTGTTGAGTAATTTTTGTACGGAGTCAGTCCATTTCGAATCTTTTTTGAATATTGAAAGAATCGGTAAAAAAACCGATGTTACCAGTCATGAAACGTGAACGAGATGAGGAACCAAGTGAAGGCACCAGCAGTAAGAGGTCCAAAAAAGAGAATACTCCATCACAATTGACGATTGACAAACGTAAGTGATTTTTTTAGACTTTTTCCCTGATGGTCGTACATTTTTGTTAATAAGGAACCAACGGTGCCTTTATTTGATTAAGTATTTCCTTATATACTTACTTTCAGCCAAAACAGAAAAGATCGTTTCGGCATCAGAGCTGAATACCATGATTATGACTCAACGACAACAGAATGGTCCATTGCAATTGGTACACATTATTCAAGAGTGCTTGACGGTCATTTTCCAGTACTTGGATTTGAAGGATCTATACAACGTGGCTGAAGCAGACAAACATTTTGTTCCAGTGGTTCGATCGATATTTTCACAGCGATATCGACACAAACAACTGGTTCTGAACCTAAGTGATATTTCCGCCAACGTTTCAAGCGATTGCATCGAAATTCCAAAAGAGCTAAACACCACCGCCTTTTTCGAGTACTTTGGTTCAGCAATTTTGAAGCTGAAAGTCATTGGTATGGATTGGTGCCCAAACGAAATCAAAGAATCATTCTTAAAGCATTGCACCGCATCGATTGTTGAATTGGAGCTTGTATCGTGTACATATTGCTTCAAAGGTGTCGATCAACCGTTCGAAAATGTTAAACATCTCGTTATAAACGATAGTACATTGTGGTCATTATGGCCTGACCAATGGTTTCCAAATGTAATCGAATTACATTTGAAATTCAAATCAATACATGCCAACTTTTTGCCCGGACATTTTCCAAAGATGACACGGCTGGATATTGATGATCCGAACATGAAAATTCTACCACGCATCGTTGACAGAATGATTCGAATGAATCCACAATTGACATGTTTGGGAGTGCAACGTGATTATGACATCGAATTTCTTCGGGTTGCAAGTGAGAGTTTGCCACATTTGAAACATTTGGAATTATTTGTACCAAAAGATGGATTCCGAAGCAGTGGTGATCAAAAGATTCATTTCGAAAATGTCAAGACATTTGCATTGGCAAAATTACACGATGCGGACGGAGCGGCTGTTGTGAATATGCCATTTTTGTTCACAAAACTGGAAGAACTGTTCTTTTTCGGTGGAACCGGTTTCAATGATGAAGTTTTAAATTTTATCAAAGAAAACAAAACGGTCAAAGAACTGAACATGATGGCTTTCGATTTGAATAGCATGACCTACAATGACTTGGTGTTGATTATTCGATCTATGCCAAATCTTTCAGCATTGATGATTGATGCAGTCACATTCACAACGAAAGAACTGATACAGCTACTGTGTGACGGTGACGAGTGGAACATTTCGAAATTGTTTTTTGCATTCGATTTCGATTCAAAACGACGAAAATTTCAATCGAAAGCTTATAAGTCAAAAATCGAAAACAAATGGACGATTGTAGCCGTTCGGTACAGTAATTCTCCCATTTTTGGATTGGAATTCAATAAACTTTGATTCTTCCAAAGTGGTCGATCAAATCACGTTCATTATTATCCGATTTCACATTGAGTGCATTTGTATAGGAAGAAAAATTTTTTTTCTGAAGAACCAAAAATCATACAGAACACAAAATTTGTTTACAGTTATCATTACATTGCAAATAAAATGTTCTCCGTTCATTTGTTGAATAAAATCACATTGTGTTTTTATTGCTTTTCTTCAGTCTTTAGCGAACCAACTTGTTATCTTCAATTTGAACAGCGGTCGAATATTGTTTGTGTAAGTATACTATGTTATACGTATATATGAATTGGTTGTATTGAGTGCGTTTTCTCCTTGTGCGAGAATGAGAGTGTATTTCAATGAGGAGCTTTGTTCTTGACTTTCGATAAAACTCATTTATAAGGACAAGAGAGAGAGAGAGAGTCACTGCTGTGAAAGAGTTTCCATTGTTTTTTTGGTTAGGTGAGCCGTTTTATGTTTACAATTTTGGTCGATTTTACTTTCGATGTGAAATGTGGATGGAACAATAAAACAGGCAACAATCACATATAAAAGACCGCTTTTCATCAAAATATATGTGAGTGACATATCATAACCAACGCTAACATGCAAAATCGTGCATACTGCAAAAATTTGACAATCTCAAGTGGTTGTGTTCATTAGCTGTGCGGGCACGTCACACACTTACTTCAAAGGAAAAGAGGCTTCATCTCAAAATCAGGCATTGAAAATCCGAAAAATTGATCAGTAATGTGAGTGTCCCTGTGTTTAAACTCCGAAAAACTACCTTCCCCAAAGTAGGAGTTCGGAAAATGGACGTTTCCAACTTAAACTTCTTTGTTTTACAGTGGCTGAAAAATGTTCAATTCCAAAGCAGCGTTGAAACGAGCCCAACAAGAGGTGCCGACTGTAAATGATGATAACAAGAAGCCCAAACTCGATGTCACACCATTGCAACTGATGCAAATCAACGATGATTGCTTAGAATTAGTCTTCAAGAACTTGTCAATGAAAGATATGTTCAACATGGTCGAATCCAATGCTCGCTTCATTCTTCCGGTTCGTTTGGCATTCTCGCAGCGATATCGAACAAAGAAATTTCTCTTGAATCTTGACACGACACCAATCACCGATGAAAACCATTGCATCGAAATTCCAAAGGACGTACCGGCTGTTACCTTCATCAATCTATTTGGTGCGAAGATTTCGAAGCTGACAATTGTCGGTATGAACGCGTCCACAATGGAAATTGAACAATCGTTGCTCAAACAATGCACCAGTTCTCTTGTCGAATTGAAGTTGATGTCATGCACCAGCTGTTTTGAAAGTATTCAAAAACCATTCAAAAATGTCGACACCCTTGTGCTCAAAAACAGTACCATCGCCGAAAAAATGTCAGCATTGAATATTTGGTTCCCGAACTTGATCAAACTAAAAATGGAAAACATCGATGCATTGCAACCGGAATCATTGTCAGTCCATTTTCCAAAGCTTCAATGCTTCGAGATGAAGGATGTTTCAATGAAAATTCCCCTGCCGACGATCGAACGAATGCTGCAATTGAATCAACAATTGAAAATGTTTGGCTTTGAACGTGATTACAGCGCTGATTTCATTCAAACCATCAACCAATGGTTGCCACATTTGGAAGAGCTTCTGCTCAAAGTACCGGCTGATCGATTCGAGAATTTTGTCGTAGAAAAACTACAATTTAAAAACATAAAAAAATTGACGTTATTCACATGGTTTGTCAACGGTCAGTTCATGGTCAAGGTGCCGATATCGTTTACAAAACTGGAAACATTGCATGTGGGCGGTCTTACCAAAATGAATGGCCAAACATTGAGTTTCATCAAAGAAAATAAAGAACTGAGTGAATTGAAAATGATCACCAACATCAATGGCATGGAATACGATGATTTGGTATCAGTTGTGAAGGCACTGCCAAATTTAACATCATTAATGATTGCGGCCGACACATTCGCATCACATCAATTGCGACAATTTTTGATGGAATGCTATCGCATGGATATAAAGCAATTACGCATGAAATTCACGGAGATGTCGAAGTGCTATGAATTTAAATGGATGGTCGAAATGGAATGCAAAAATAAATGGACGATCACCGCATGGAAGTTACCAAGTCGCTTTTTTGCGTCGGAGCTACGATTTGATAAGCATTGAATGCAATTCAATGCCTTGCAATGACCAATATGCTGCTTAAAATATGGAATATTAAAAGAACAAACATGGAAAATGAAGAAAATTTCAAATTTATTCGATTTTAAGTACAAGAATCATGAAAGAGATGATTTGGAATGAAATTTTATTTACGATTTGATTTAAAAACCGTCTTTTTTGTTAAAAAATCGAATTTTCAACATTGAATTTTTGAAAATTAAATAAAGTTAATGATGTAACCCTAAATTATTCAATTTTTTTTCGGCAAATATTTTGCTAATGCGATTTTTTTCGAACTTCCTGCGGATATTCTGGTTTTTTGAAAATCTGAAGCTTCTGTCTTCAGTTTATGAAAAGTCAGAAAGAACTAATTTTTATAAAAAAAAAAACGATTCGGTGAATTGAACATTTTCTACCGTATTTTCTGACTAGGCGTTATCGTACACTAGGTGAGGTCAAATATTTAATGGTGAGGTTGCTGTTGGTGTTGTTGTTGGTGGAGTTGTTGTCTTATCCCTTTTTAGTCTTCATCGGTTTCTGTAATGCATAAACCAAATGGATTAAATAAAGTTAATTCACGAAACTATTTTTATGCAGCAAACTCTTGATAGCTCACCATCATACACGTCTTCATAATTTACTGGGAACTCGCATCCATATTCAAGGTCTCTCATTCTGTTCAGATATCCTTGAAAATTTTCGCGCAGCTTCTGTTTCGCATCCAAATGCTGTTTCTTCAAATCCTCCATCTGTTGTAGTAGGTCATTGATCACTTCATTTGCATTTTCTGCAGTGTTTTTGAACATTTCGATTTCTTCAACATGATCATTTTTTAGCGCTTCAATTTTGTTTTCATGGTTTTTTTTCAATGTCGCAATTTCGATCAAGTGATCAATTTTAACAATTTCCAATGATAAATTTGCCTTCGAATTTTCTAAAGAGACACACGTTCGGAGGTTGGATGTGACCTTTTCGGTTGCATCATCAAATTTTTTTGCCAGTAAATGTGCCACATCTTTTACGGTTTGTAGTTTAGATTCGTCCAATTTCATCAAATCTAACGGAAGAAGAAAATCATTTTTAATTGTTTAAATAACCAAAGTCAAAATCTGATTTCAAAATACGGTACCTTCGGGTTTGTCATCATTTTTTTCGGCCAAACGCATTTTTTTATTATCAGTCTCATCTGGCAGTCGTCCCATCGATGATGAACTGGGACTCGAATCCATTGCACGGCGTTCGGCCAATGCAGGCACCATGTCGTATAGGTAGCTTTCATGCAATGCCGGATTGAAAAACGTTTTGGCCTTGGCCATTGCAAATGAGCCGAACTTTTCACGAATGTTTTCGATGTATTCGCGCACTTCCTGTTCACAAAATTCAATATAAAGATTTAAAGTTGAATTTACATATGGAAATGTTTATGAAACTTACTGTGACTGCGGCATTGTTGGACCATTGATTCAAATCACTTTCGGAATATAAGTAAACGTTGGTTGCTTGCACGTTGGTGTGAGAATGGTCACCAAACAAACGAACATTGACCGATTGTCCATCGATTGACATCAACTTTGCTGGGCGTTCTATGTTGGATTCATCCGATTTTACCGAAACAAGCAAATGCGGTTCAGCACATGCCATTTTAAACCATGATTCCGGATAGACGGCTTCATTCGCATAACATTCCATGCAATTCTTTAAACATTTTATTTCCTGGTCAATATATTCCAGCAATTCACCAGCAGCGTGTCCCTTTTCATCTCGATCGAAACCTTTATTTTAAAAAATATGTTTTTTAAATTGAACAATTCAATCGAAATTCAAGAATCTCAATCATTTTTGGAGACATGACAAAAAAATTGGGATGTTCCATTAGAAAATTGAATGTACCTACCACTGTATGCACTGATGCAATTGTAACGAATCCACAAAATATCGCCACGAAATTCGGCAAAGTTTTCGTACGAGTCAATGTTGTTCATGACAGTTCGCAAATTGTCGAGAATGACAATGGAATGGTGCGTCTGCTTCAACACTTGATACTGTATGAGAAAAGCAGAGAAAAGTTAGGTTACATTTTTTGTAAAAAAAATTGCTCGAGATGTTTTTACACTTACGAAATCGGTTTTAGTCACACGATCCATGATTAACGGCAACCATTGCATATCACTTGGTCTGAAAAGTATACAGTTGGATTTTTTTATTTGTTAAACATTGAAATTGACAAAGAGAATCAAATGGATCTGACAATTTTTCGATATGAAAAAAAATTCCGGCAATTTTTGAAGAATTCGATGGCTCTCGAATTAAAAAATTAAATCATTCAACTTACTTGTCGTCAGCAGCTTCCGATTCAACACACACCGGGCACAACCAATTGTTTGTATCGACATCATTTTGTGCGCTTTGTGGCAAACAACTTGAATGATATGAACGCTTACATTTGATGCAACTAAGATCACAATTTTCCCAATTTTCCTGAATACACTCCCAACACAGGTCAGACTGAATAATCAAATGAAAGAACATTTTTCAATACAAGAAATTCAGGAAAAAGTCCGCTTGATCAATACCACGACATGATTCAACGAAAAAAATCGAAATAATTATCAACTTACCTTTGCAACGTCCATGTTTTTTGCTATCGTTTTCGGAGACGCTTTGAAAATTGAATTGCTTTGAAAAATGTTGTTGTTACTTGCTTACCAATAACTGAAATGACACATTAGCAAAGGAATCTGCTTGGTCTGCTTATTTGTGTATATATTTATGAGAACCCGTCGCCGAAGACCGAAGAAAGGGAGAATGAAAGAGAGATCGAAAGTGATAAAGATGGAAAGCACTGAATGTAAATATGCTGCGCGACAGCAAAATGTTGTTGTGTATGTGTGAATAAACATACACGAAACCGCATATATTCGTGTTGTATGGAATACGCCTGTGTGACTTTGCATTTGATGCACACTGAGGAAGTAATATGTGACGCAATATAAATTTCTCTTTCGCTCACATGAAATCATATGCACAGTCACACAGGCGGTCTACAACGCAATATTGCATGCAGCACATTTAATTCTCTGAGAAAAGGAAAGAAGAGAATAAGAGAAGGATGCAAACAATCATAAAACCTAAGTTGAATGCAATCATAGTGAAACAAATGTGATGGGATTTTTTCATAATGGTCTTTCCATTTCTGGGAATTTCCCAAAATTCGATTATTAGGCGACGATTTGAAAGTCGTAAAATCGGAATTTTGTACGAAAATATTTGTTTTATAGAAAAATTCCAAGAATCCGAAAATGAAAAGAGACTGTAATAATGGCAATTGGATGAAAGATATATGTAGCAAATGAGCGTATATGACTTTGTCACATAAATTTGTACATGTCATATTTTAGATTATTTTATTCGTGACATTTGGATGTGACTGTTACAATCAAATCCATTGAATGGAATGAGGACTATATGGAGTGATCTGAATTTTAATGCAAAAATGTCATAGGATCGACTAATTTCATTCTGAGCTCACAGCACTATGTCACTTTGTATCATATTAATCGTATGATTTATCCTTTCCGATCAAAGGAATACGTAATAAAGTTACTGCTTTGCTCATGAGAACAACAAAGAATCACCCGAATTTGTCAATAAGAGAGCATCCCCATTGTCTCAAATGTGCAGTACATTTTCCGGTTGTGCAAGCAGCAATAATATCAAATCTGAAACATCGAACTTTATTGGGGTAGTTACTACTCTCGAAAAAAATATAAGCATCATTCATATTTATAGTTTATAGAATTTAAATTGGAATAAGTCTTTTAGAATTGTTAATTTGAAATAAATCCATAATTTGCAGTTCCTTTCAAACGTTAAAACAGAAATATTAAACATTGTTGTTGTCCAGTATCAATATGAACTATCAAACATGTATTTATTCATAATTAATTGTGGTCACATATTTACAAAATGCAAAGTTTGTATCTATACAAATTCATGCGTTGATGATTACGTTACAAATTAAATTTCAGCAGAAAACAGCTATCGTCGATTTTTTGAATAAATCTGAGAATTTTGTGCAAAATAACTCAGTTCTATGGCCAAACAATAGATTCAATCCAAGGTATATAATAGGCGACGCGAGTGTAAAGACTGGGCAAATCTGCACCGCAAGCAATACCAGCACTAACGATACCAACTATTGTGACAGTGTTTGGGTCATTGTTGAGAATATATTGAAGTGGACCTCCACTATCGCCTTGGCAACTATCCTTTTCTCCAGCTGGATCAAATGCGCAATACTGTCCAGGATCAATGCCATCTCGAAAAGACGCCAGATTCACCAGTATATTGTAATTCAAATAAGTCCGATTGCATTCATTTAACGGCTTTGTATTAACCGCAATTTTACGTAAATCGTTTGATTGAGACTCGCCTTATACAGTCAAAAAAAGAAAATGAAAATAAGATAAATTTGCAAAAAAATCGTGTTTTTCGGAATAGAATGGCGAACCGAATATCAAAGTAGTTTCACTTACGGTTCGGATTAGTATTACCCCAGCCGGTCACAATCAGTTTTGTAGCAGTATCTACATCTTCTATATTTGTGTACAAGCATGCCGGTCTAATGGCATTGCTGAATGCAATCTTCAGGGTGAGTTCAAGCAAAGCAATATCGTTCTTTTTGGTCATCACCGAATAACTTGGATGACGTGTGATACTCTGACGAGAAAATGAAAAATTAAAAAAAAAACAAAAGCTTGTGCATGTTTAACTCACCTTGATATAATAATTAGTAGCTCGAGTTTCATCGGTATAAACATCGTTTAGACTCACCTATTTTGGAAATCGAAAAAATCATTTCGAATCGAGCAACACCGCGGTGACCTAAAATTTTAACATACCTTTCCCACACGAACTAATACCGGTGGATACCTACCCGCACAGCAATGCGCCGCCGTCATTATATAGTACTCGGATATTATAGTGCCACCGCAGCCAAAGCTTATTTTGTAATTGTCATTGTAGCCCAGGGCAGCCTTTTCATAAAAGCAAAATGCATTGAAACAATGTAAAATTATATAAAAATTAAATACCTACCATCCAAGGGAATTCACCATTATTTGCTATATCGCCATCTAAAATACGTTCTTCTATCGATTGATTTCCACGAATTCGATTGCATGCTAATTTTGTGAAAGAAAAAGAAATTAAATGGGACACATAGGACAGTTTGCGAACTTTGAAGAAATCAATACAAATTGTAATAATTACCGTCTTTGGCAGTCATTTTGGTCGCAGATATGTTCATAAATGAGATATTTTGAACATTTGCTATCATTCCTCCAAGTAAGTCAGCTTCTTCCTTAAATCCTAAGATCAGGTTGCATTATAATTGTATTTATACAAAGCATAGCATGTGTAAAAATTACCATTTTTGAGAGCTACTGAACGTGGAGTTTCATTTCTAATATTTCGAGAACTTGTATTTGCACCCTTTTCGATCAGCAATTTAATCATATTAATTTTGCCTGACAAAATTTCAGTGAAAATCAATCAAACTTATTGCTACGGTAAAATATTTAAATAATGAAATGTTCACCTGCAGCAGGAGTGTGTATTGAAAACCTAGTTTCCGTAACAGTTCGGGGTAACGGTGCGGCAGCAAAGTGGAGCGGAGTCGATTTTCCAATGTCTTCCGCACTCACATTTGCCCCATGATCAATTAGAGTTTTGATTGCTTCGGTATGACCTAAAAAATATGCAGAATTTCTTTTAAAACTGTGGCTTTTCGCAAAGAGAGAGAGAGAGAGAGAGAGAGAGAGAGAGTGCTCGGCGGACCACCACAATTAAAACCTTCAATCCACGGAAATAATTTCAAAGGCACTGAAATGCACAATTACCACTCCAAGCAGCGAGATGAATTGGCTGACGTTTATTCTTATCTTCAACATTTACGTTGGCTCGATTTTCAATCAGAGTTTTAATTACTTCCAAACGACCTAAAAGTGCAGCCCACTGAAGTGGAGTATATTTGTCCTTATCCTCGACATTTACGTTTGCTCCATGGTCAATAAGAGTTTTGACTGCATCTGCTCGACCTAAAAAAAATGTTTTTTTCTTCTTCTTAAATTTCATGTAGTAGAAAATGTTCACTGTAATAATTTCAATGAATTTAAAAAGATTTACAGATTATTTCTAGATTTGGATGTCACCGTTGAAAAATCACGAAAAATCTATCTGTATATATTTCTTATGAGTGTTGAGAATTACCATCTTTAGTGGCACCCAAAAGTTGTTGATCCAAGTCCGATATTTCCGTTTTTGCTTCGAGAAAAAAGAATAATACAGCAAACAAATATCTCACTTTCATCATCAAAAAAAGAACAACCCATGAAAGCGCGAAAAATACGAATAATTTTTTAGTGTACGAAAACTCATATAAACACCACTTCTTGACGAAAAAATGTAAACAATTCGTTGTTCGTTGAAATGAATCGGAAAAATTCTGGTTTAAATATAATAAAACTGAATATTGAGTTGAACTTTGATTAAGGCGTATGAACTTTAATAGCGAAAGTTTGTCTCTCTAAATGAAACAATGTTGTGGTTAGCGGTAGAAAAGTGAGATTACGCTATCACGCTTCTGTCGTCAACACAAAAAAAAATCATCTGTATATTGTTTTAATCACGAGCCGTAAAGTCTGGTGTTTATATCAAAGCAGTTCACCTATATGAAGGTCCCAATGAACATATCAACACAACGCCAAACTGGATGATTACGAATATCTGAGTGAAATGAGTCGGTTTTTGGGTACTAACGTAAGTCGCGGAATTGAGTAGAATTACTGTGAACGTGCTGTTTCAACTTTGACTGTAAATTGTTTTTAACTATAATCGGTATTGATCTTCATTCATAGTCGTAAATGTTCAAAACGTGACTAATTTCTGAATATAAAACAAACTGCCACAGGTTTCGATTTCATGCTCCAATTCAATTGCCAATTTTCGTAATGATCGCAGCAAAAGAGCAACGTTTTTCATACAATTGGAACTCTCAAAACAAATCCTAATCGTTATTCAACCAAAAATTTGCATGTGTAGAAAACCCATAGAAATTATCACGAATACACTAAGAACGTTGGTAAGTAACTGAAGTATTTCCTTTGTTATTAAAAATTATCACAAGAACATTCTAGGCAAAAAGATTGCAACCTCATACACTGATAACTTATTTACTGACGTATTTGCAGATAAGGTAAATGATTTATGTGAGCTCCGAAGCTGATATTTTGCACATCATTTTGTCGTCGTACATTTACATACCAAAACTTTTCATCGAAATTTGGTATTTTGTGAAACACGAACTAATACCGTCATGAAACCCGAAAAAAACTTCTTAAACAAATCACAATGCCAGAAAATTCCCCAAAAATTTCGCAATTTTAATAATACGCCGGATAGTAACTCATGTTGTATAAATTCGTTTCAATAAACAGTGTGTGTGTTTAATTTTTTATTTCCACACATATTTTATACAGATTAAACGTGTTGAGAGTGAAAAAAAAAGTGCCTTCAATTACTGTCACTTCCGAAATAAGAAAAAACAAAACAAAATTTGACTCGCAAATATTGATGAAACTTGTTGGAGCCAACTAATCAAACTATCAAACGTTTTACAAACAAATGAATTTTTCGGATTTGTTTTGTGTGAGAGTGTCTCAAACCAGTTCACAGTAATGTTTCGACGAATAAAAAAAACCAACAAGGAAATTGAATATTAATCTAAGACGCCGCTCTTTTCGATTTTGAAATTTTTATCTGCTCATGTTACTACTTGTTTTGTATTTATAAAAAAGACCATCGAACTTGAAAGATTTGCGAAAAAAAGGCTCATAGACAACGTATCAGTTTTACGAACGGAATAATAAATATCAAATTGATTTGAAGAAGAGTCAGAGAACTCACAAAATCAGTCTCTGTCTCGTTATTTAAATGATTCAAACTATTAATTACGCATTTTTTCGGGTTTGTATGATATTTTATTTTTTGGTTTTTTGAAGTGGTTTTGTGCTTTAGTCAAATAAATTGAAATGTTAATCATTATGTCAATGCTGTGATCATATGTGTCTGACACCAGAAAGCTCAAATCTATTGACGTTTGAGCTTGGGGACGACCAGTAGAATGATGTGTTTGAACCGGTTCCAATATTCGGCTGATTGAAAAACTCGCTCGAAATATTTCGGGCTTCGGTTGGGCTGGAACCCATATACTGGTTGACACAATACCACTTTTATCTTGATAAAACCCTGGAAAATTCAAAAAAAAAAATTCTATCCACAAAAACCGTAACAAAAAGAGAGTTTTCATTTCACTCGGATCAAAATTGATTACGGGGGAGGGTGAGTTTTGGCCAAAAAACTCCAGCAAATCGAAAGATTTTGTAAAAATTTGCTGGGGGTTCTGAAACGCTAGGAGAAGGTACCTATATCACCTATGTCTGAACCTATGTTTGGAACCAAAAAACAAAACTATTTTTTGCAGTGGAATTTATTCAAGAAATATCGATGAACAATTATCACTTTTTTACTTTAATCAATTGCTTTAAAAATTGTTTTATTGATATTTATTTGTGGTTTTAATACAATAAAATTTTTATTCCAATTCTCGATTCTTTTAACGTCATATGAAAATCCTTTTCGTCGAAGTCAACAAATCATAAGCACATCCCAATGGCCAGTTGACTCTATGATTGTTGATATAGCGGTATACCTATAGCAGATAGTAAAACTGATATTACATACAAATAAGTAAAAATCTTCGCTGCCTCGCTTACGCTTATTTTAGTTGAAGGATGCAGACCGTATCCATCTTTTAGCAATACTGCAATATACGTCATATCAAGACATGTTACAGCATTATGTTTGCCCACATTTACACACAATTGGCTTGCTTTTGACATAAAATCACCAACAGTAAGTTCACCCCCTCTGGCCGGATCTATAAATTTGAAAGAAAATCACAGAGAATAAAAGAAAATTTTGGTCAAATCAAATTTCTTATACCAACTAGTCCGGTTTCGGTGGCAAATTCATAAAAATAATTGGTGGCAACGATTTCATTTTGACTCAATGTCAGTGGTTTTTGCTTGATCAAGCTCATTGTTTTTAGTCTAAATAAATCAGCACATGCATCGAAATGGATGGCTGAATTCGCAGCCCAATCGGAATACTGATCCATACTGAAAGTCACAGCGAAACATTATTAAAATAGAAAATTTTTCACAAAAAAAAGCTATTCCTACTCAAAATTAAACGATCCATTTATGCACGAAGTACCAGTCTTAATGCCATCTGGTTTGGTGGATGCGTATATAGAATCTCGAACAGCTTGTAAACCCGAACACAAATAACTATTTGTAAAGACGTCCATTGGTCCTTTTGATGTCGATACCGTTTTTATATGTTCGGCCAACAAACGTCTTTCGGACGCATTTTTCAATGAAAATGTCACTTGCATGCTGGCACCTCCGAGGTCCAATGTAGCCACTGTAGCACTGTTACTACCAAATCGATCTAAATTTATGTACACATTTTTTCATAATTCTTATTGGATACCCAATATAATATAAGAAATTGTCTACTTACCCAGCAAAAAATTGGCAGCAAACCATGAATAAACTCCTTCATTATCGCCGTCCATGATTTCGACGGCATTATTTGTGATGAGAAAGCCCGATTTTGAAAATACCTTACGTACTTCTTTTAATATTTTTTCGGCTTTGGCTGAATGTAATAATCTTAAACCAGCTGTTGCTTTCAATACAGCTGGTGTTTTTTTCCATAAATGCTTGGGCACAAATTTTTTCGCTTTCAATAATAATTCATTAATTGCTTGTGCGCCCTAATTTTTGAAGAAAACAAATAAACGGATGAAATTCATGAGAGAGATAAACGGTGCCATTATGAATTACCTCCGCTGGGCTATCAACGAAAGCACTAAGTCCCGGCTGAGTTTCTTCATACAATTCATCACCCAAAGTCAATCCAGCATTCCAACTATCATTGTAAAATTGATACGCAACCACACGGCTACCCGATGAACCAGCATCAATTACAACAGCATATTGTACGTTTTCTGTTTGAATAAATGACATGAATGTGAACATTTTGAATCAAAGAATGTTGAAAGTAGAGAAAAGTTAGTTTTCCTCTGAAAAATCAACACACATCCAAAAAGAAATCTTTAACTTTATGTCTTTGAAAAAAATTCTTTTACTTTCCATATAAAACTGGCTAAATTACAAATTAATAAATTCTTTGTCGTTTAAAATTGTTAGTGACGTGGATTCTTATACTCGAACGAATTTTTATAGGAATATTTTTTTTTCATACATGTGAAATAATATTTCACATTTACTTGAAACTATTACTATTTTCAATATGTTAGGTTCCAAAAAGACCAAAAAAATAATAATACTTAAACATATTTCATAAACTTAAGTCTTAATTAAGAGTGTCTTACTTTTATTTGGATTCCCTTCACACCATAAAATCTATAAATTCGAATAAATCGAATAAATTCCATTTAATTTTGGTCAATTGTGTGATGTTTTTAACTATTTTTTAGGAAAATGAATGTAAATACTTACAAAACATTCGATGAGTAATATAAAAAATAAGGAAAATAAAAATTTCATTTTTTTGAATTTGATGAAAATTTCGTATAACCAAATCAATTGCTTGCGAAATAACGTATAAACTGAACTGTGCAATATCTATAAGCTTGTTGATTTGCAATTTGAAACTGTTCTTGTTTTTAATTTTTCATAATTGAATGAAAACATTTAAAGAATGTGATATTTATTCATCTGGCGACGTTCAAAATTGACGTTCAAATTTGTAACATATGTTTTTGGATGTATGTTATAGGTGAAGGTCCAAAATACTTGAAACGTGCAACAATTGGTTGGATGGATTGAGAGAATGTTAAAAGAAATGGACAAATCGGTCTGCCAAAGCATGATTTTGAAGGTTTGATACATACTTCGAAAAATCGAAGACGATGGTCCGTTCGGTGTACTGTAAATGTGTTTTCGGATTGCCTATGAATTAAGCTAACTACCACTGAGAGAAATTTTCAAAATGCTTCTTTGGTGTTTAAAAATCAAATGCTTGAATTCAGTTTCAAAACTTTCTTCACATATTGCAAATGCCTATTAATTTACTGAAACTTACATCCTCACCTATATGATATATAGGCTATATCTACATACAATGTGAATTTGTGCCAAAATATCGATAATTGATCGACAAACACCATGAAATTGTTTCGACTTTCAAATAATAACTGTTTGTGTAATAATTTGATGTTTTTTTATTACACATCATTTCAGCTGAATTATTTGGGATTCGTCTACTTGTTTGTTTTTAAGAGAATTTTTGCACAATAATTTCTTAGCTCTTCTTTCAGTGGTTTTGACGATTTTTCTCAATTCTCAATGAATCCATCTTTGAATGCCCCTTTAATTTTCGCAGATTTGCATTATTTGAACTTCGAATCAATATCATAATGTTTCCATGCAATTTTCATATTTTTGAATTGAATGTAAACTGTAATTTATGTTTGCACCACAAATCTCACATTCGAAATGTCAAACTATGCAAACTATCAGCCTAGCTATCAGCTTTCAATGTTTTGTCGTCTATAAAATTGAAAGATATTATGAATATAAGTAGAAAGTGTTTACAAAAACTTATGAAACAAAAGCGAAATCAAAGACCAATTAAATCTCATTGAACACCCTTTTATTTGCAGCATCCCATCGTGAATTTTAACTTTCCAATAAAACTTCCGAAGACTACTTTGAACCATCGCAGATAAGACAGAAACGTCATAACATTGCTCGCATCATATGAAACAACAACGGAATGAAACTCCGTGACCCCATGACCTACCATTCAGAACGGTGTATCCATATGATAAGTAACATTACAATTGGGTGGCATCAAACTAAAAGGTAAATTATGAATAAAAAGACCATTTATTTAGTTTCTCCAAATAAAAACACAATTTATTTCACCTTCAAATAATACAGAATGTGTCAAGTTGTCTTGGTTGTTGATTTATTTATGTCAAAATTATACGTTTACCCTGATTTCTCCAGTTTAGTTTTAGTTGTATACCTATGGTCTGGACCATTCAACTTTGAAAATTTGACCACCACAGTCTTCACCATTCAATAGAAAAATTGCTTTGGCTGCATGTTTGTGTTCTTTGAATCTTATATAAGCGTATCCTGCGTTGGTTTGTGTATCTTTATCGCGTGGAAAATTAATCTTTGTATATGGTCCAATTTTAGTGATCAATTTTTTTAGATCATCTGGAGCCAACATTCTGTGAATATTGGAAATGCGAATATTTTTTGAATTACTATAACGTGTATCATTTTTATGGTTTTCTCTCATATGTAGCGGCACATATTTGCACGTATTGGTACCTAAGGGGAGAATCACAAAAGGAAAGAATAAAATTTAAAATAATCGAAAAATAATCGTAAAACAATCAATAATAATTAAAAAGTAATTGTATTGGTACCAGTTGCGGTATATGTTGTGGGCTTTGCTGCGCCCTCACTGATCACCCCCGATGATGAATCAATGATTGAATTTTCTTTGTCTTCTGTCTTTGAATTCTCTATTTCTCCTTCTCGTGGATCAATGGTCACATTGTTTAAGTTTCCTTCTTCTTCCTCTGACGTGGCGCCTATTGAAGTGTCTTTCTCTTCGTCTCCTTCTCGTGGATCGATGATTAAATTATTTGATTTATCTTCTTCTCCCTCTGAGGTGGTGGCTGTTAGTTTCACTTTCTCTTCGTCTCCTTCTTGTGGATCGATGGTTACATTGTTTGATTGTTCTTCTTCTTCCTCTGAGGCGGCGCCCATTGAAGTTTCTTTCTCTCCGTCTCCTTCTCGTGGATCGATGGTTACATTATTTGATTTTTCTTCTTCTACTACTGAGGTGGTGACTGTTAATTTTTCTCGTGCTCTATCACCACTACCTACGACGCCAACACGTTTTTCCAGTATTTTGATGCGCTTTTGTAAATTGAGTTGATGTTGTTCCAAATGTTTGATGCGGCCGTCCGAATAACACTGTACTGTTTTGTATTGATTGACCGTTTGTTGGAGAGTGACATTGTCCCTTACTAAAGCCGAAATACGATCAATAATATCGGTATATAATGCGGCGACGTAATTAATCTGTAACGAAAAATCGTTCCATCAAAACCTGTTTTCATTGGGTCAGTGTCATTCTGACGATGTTGTACTTTTGATTACATTAAATTTCAAATTTGGTGCAGTAAAAGTGATCAAAACTGTTTGATGAACTATGAAGAATTGAAACAGTTTCTGATCGATGTTCACATGAGCATTGAAAGTACAAATTGGTTTTTGGCATGGCGTCGACGACAGAGTCATAAACGGTACTTACCTTTATATGAAATTTTTGTTCAGCGTCAGCGATTTCGTATTTGCTTGACCAAATTGATTGAGCTTGAATTGCTTCGTCAAGTGGGCAAGACATTTTGTTTTTTTTTTGTCTCTTTAACTTTTGGAAAAAATAACACGAAAATCAAATGATATACATGAAATCGACGAATTTATCGAAAATCAACCAATAATGTTAATCAATGGTGGCGTGATACAACAAAAAAATCTACTGTGCAATAGTCGGCTTTTTGTGTACCGCTTACATTGAACCACAGTGAAATGTCAAAAGAAATTAAGTGTTACCATAACCCAACTAAAGAGTTAGATATGTTAATGAAGCGAATTTGAGAATTTTTTCATTGAAAATTAATATGAAATAAATTCCCGATGAAAATATATTTCATAAAACCCAAAAATTGAGGATTGAAATTTTCAGTTTCTTATCAAAATCACGGTTGAGTGGATGTTCTTTTCTGAAATATGTGCATCAGTTTGTAATCTCATAAATAATATTTATGTTCGAATATTGCTATCTCTTTCACATTCAATCATCTTTTTGACGTATCGATTGAATACACTTATTGACGACATTACTCTAAGCAAGTTTTGTGTTTTAAATTGCTTTGTTCTCAGAAGGAGTTCGCACTATACCCCAAAAATTAGCTCGTTACCTTCATAAAACATATTAGGTGATCTTATAAAATCTGTAAAATTCAATGGGTAATTTGGTTTGAGAAAAGTTGAAGAGCTGAAAAAAGACTGTTATTTCCGAAATCTGTCTCTGACCACCTTCAAAATACCTTCCCCTTACACACTCGGTGTGTGCGGAAAAGTAAAAGATGATTACAGTAGTAGGAAAAGGCGGGTTCTGGCCCAACTTTTGCGTCAACCGCATGGTTGACGCAAGGGCCCTTGCGTCACCCATGCGGTAGTAGTGCCAGCGCG